GGGGAGGGGGGGGTGGGGTGGTAAGAGCTGATCTCTGCTCCAAAGATGCAATACTTGTCATTTTTTCATATATTTGCTATTAAAATTAAGCACAGAACAGTGCAAGAGCCTTGTTCAGCCTCACATATTTTTCATCCTGTCCCAGTGCAGTTAGTCATCCCAGACATACACCTTCGAGCTGTGAAGCACAGTGCACTGCAAAGGTGTTGAGGACAAGGTTTGTCACTGACCACTTTTTACACCAATAATGCAAATTTTGGTCAAGTTGTGTAATAGTTAATTCTTCAGAAGAGTTACATAAGCATAAAATGGGAACACAATAACACTGCTGTTGTATCATCCTGAAGATGAGCAACGTTAGCACGGTTCAGTGATGGGCCCATTCAACTGGCAGCTGGACCCTTGGTCTGTATGCTGCATTCCCTCATGTTATTATACAACTTGAGGTGAGTGTCCTAAGCTGTCTGTGCCTCTTTTTTCTCAACTGTAAAGTGAAAACAACAATACTTATTTATCCCTGTAACTTTATTTACAATGACACCTACTGAACAGATGATAAGCATGATTACTAGTCCACGTCCTTCTACTGTTAGGAGGACCTAAGCTTGCCAACCACTGACGAACTTGATCAGTAAATCTTTAGAACATTTTTACAGAACGAAATAAGCATGAAGGAATAAACGTTGTAAGCATAACAAACAAACATTGTATTTTTCAAATATTAAATCATTGTGTTACAATTTCTTTATGTTTTAAGAACTACATCACAAAGGATCTTACATGATATTTAAAGCTTTCCCAACAAGTTGTGTGTTTCTTACAGCTTTCTCAGTAGGTCAACAACTTCCAGACCTCAAAATCCATCTAGTAAACATTTTCTCTAATGAAAGAACCTCTCAGACCCATCTGAGCATCTTTGCTGTCTATTTGCTACAACTGTCACAATTGCAAATGGCATCAGCCATCAACACTGTGTTGAAAAAAGCACAGGATGGAATCATCTCTTTATCACTGTGTTGAGTTGAACAAAGACAGATTATCTGGTGATTAGGGGTTTGGAATATTAATTAAACATCAAGGCTTTCAAATTAGAATCCCAGATGTTTGATCATTATGGTAATTCCCCGTTAACAGCATTCCCTGTAAGGCCTGAGAAACATTCCTCTAATTCTCCAGTGGTGAAAGGTTGAGGACCCTTAGGCTATAGAGCACTGAACTCCTATGCATCAATTATACAAGACATGGCCTTTTCAGCAAATTGGAGCCATCTTATTTAGTGAGCCTTCTGTTATGGAAGCTCTCAAACAGCTGCCTAATTAGATAAACGCTTTCCTTACTAACACAGGCCTTTCCAAAATAAAGCACACTGTTCCATGCAAAAGCTGCTTGCTCTAAATCAAGTCTCAACAGCAGCTGTCTTTTCAGGGAGGTGTAGCAGCATCATCTCCAGGATAGCTGCCCTGTCAATAGAGTTGTCTGTGTGTCTTGGTCTTCTGCTCTGGACTGTCTGGGCATTGGAGACAGATCATCTTCAGCCCTTGCTGAGGGCGCCCTTGCTCCAGCTGAACTGCCTCCCAACCTGTGCTACATGAGCCTTATTCTAAAAAGATGAGGAGTTTGAACAAGTTCAAGTGTTCCTCAGGAAAGTATATGGATTGTTGCTAGTTTCATTTCTACATTACTTGTGCATCTGTACTACTACATTTCATAAACATGACTTCACCTGAGCCTGTAAACTAATCTGGGAACAATGTCTAGTGTTCGCAAAGCCCACGGACAAGACTGCAGATGGTTCTTTTAACAGCACAAATACTGTTTGACATAGTCAGCTCAGAAAGTGTGTTTGGAGATCTACACTAACAGCAAGCCTGCTTACTACCATGGCACACTGTCCTCATACACGTGACTTCCTTTGTGCACTCAGCTCTTTGTGGCCTGTGATAAATTATCTAGCTAGGAACAATGATAGCAATAACATTACCCCTTTCACCTGGCAGTGATTTACCCCTGATATGTCTTCCATTGGTATGTACTCCTACTAACATATGAATAAAACACAACTTCATACATATGCCCAGAGCAGCCTAAAGACTTTTCAACTAGCAATAGAGTCAGAGAAGGTAACATGAGATCCAGACAGGATGGAACTAATTATCTGAAGTTCAAGGTCTCAGGTTATTCACTTACAAGCTTAGTAAAATTTGACTACAATCTGAAAGGAATTTCAAGTGGAAAGGGGATGTGTTTAAATAATTTTCATTCTTTACTAGAGGTTAATTTCGCACAGTCTGATTAAGGATTTTCAGTCTTCGCAGGGTGCAGCTTCAGAGCAGAAATACTGCTGATCTGGATCAGCTGGGGAAGATTTCTTCTCCCATTATGTGACAAGGAACTTACATGCTACCTCAGATAGTACTCTATAGAGGGCTACATTCACCTAGTGAAAATCTCTTTTCCAGCAGCCCTTAGTGCCCACATATGGAGTAAGTGCCCACACATTCCATTCCAAATGAATGCAAAATACCTTAACTTTCACAACAGCTATGTAGTTCCCCCATAACTTTTATTAAAATCTTACTATCTGTGTACTAGCAAGGTATAAATCTATACTCAAAAGTATTTGCACTATTCAGAACATTCCTCTACATTCTAATGAAGCATCCTGAAGGTCTCCATGCCATGCTCCAGTCAACTGCAGATATTGCTGCAAGTACACTCTTTATGGGTGCAGTTTTCTGTAAATCTCTTCCTTGCTTTCACAGAGGTTTTGCAAAGCAGATTCAATCACAATCACACAGAGCCGATACTGTTCATCAGGCTCTGGCCTTGACGCTAGCTAGTTCCACTTACCCATTGGTTTTCCTAATGTACATTCTACTGTAATTCCATAACTCTGTTCAGGAAATACGTAGACATACTTCATTAGTCAAGTTGATGGAATAAAAGAAGGGCATCCTAGAATATGGACAACCACAATTTCAACAAAGTCCATAGAGTCTTGAACATTATCAGCTCTGTTTTTCATAGTAGAAAGCATGCCCAGGCTTTCTGGGGTCTTGCTAGGCCTCACATTAATATTGACTATACAGAAAAACAATAATTTACCCAGAAGAATACTTAAATCTTTCGCTGTGAGAAGCTTTGTGTTTTCAATGGCTGTCAGCAGCCCAGTAAAACTGGGCTAAATGTCTTAGTAATTTATAGAGTACTACAAAGCACTGGAAATTAAGGGGAAATTATCTCTTTGATAGCACTGTACATCTCCAAAACAATATACCAAAAAGTTGATGTACCAAAATCAAACTTGTTAGTTGCATGTAACTGGAGATCGCAAACTTCCAGATAGCAATTTCTCCATTCTTCCATATTGAAAGACCTTGCATGTAGATAGCCCAGGGCTGCTTGATTTCTGCAGGCTGTAGCTAGGTGGTCTTGGGCACCCTGATGGTCTGCTATTATACTGATCATCACAAATTAGCATCTTTTTCCTTTTAACCAGTCAGTATTAGTTGGAAAATACCAAAAGAGGCAATCAATCACATGGAGCTGCTCATGAAGAGACAATATTAGTTAAATCTCCTCCTCAGCCACCCCTTCTACCTAACTTTCAAGTCATTCTCACAATAGATGACTTAGATTTATAGATTAAATTCATAGATTTATAGATTAAATTCATAGATTTATAGATTGTCATAATAGATTGTTACAATATGGAAGCTTGTTTTTACTTAATACTCTTTTAATGAGAATATTCATTCACAATTTAGCACTAAATTAGAATTTAGCACTGCTCAGCAGTGTTTTTCTGTCTTGTCTGACACCTCTTTCAGAAAAAAGATCCTGCTTTGGATGATGGGATGAAAGACAAGGCTGGCACTGGGTTCCAGGATACCATTCCCTGCAGTTAGTATCAGGTCACACACAGCGAGACCAGTCCCAGGAGTGAAACACTATAGTGAAATATTCCAGGTGCTTGCTCAGAAACAACACAGACTGTGGACAAAATATTCCCCAATGGAACTCAACCTGGTTCAAGGTTACAAATCACGTTCAACAATTATCACAAATCATTTCACTCAGATAACTATAACTCCAGAAAATTTTCAGCTATGGCTTATGAACTAAGATGCTTGATGCAGGTTTGGCTTTATTAACTATCAACCGGCAAATGAAGAGTCCCTTTTTTCCATGTTTGGGTGTAATACATGCTGTGATTGCCCAAATCTTTAGATCCACTGGGTCATTTAAATAATTGCCTACAGCATAGTCCCAAGAAGCCTGCAATATGGAATTTTGTTCCATACAGTGGGGAACAAATAGCATTTCTAATAGTAAAGTATAACTTTTACATTTCTTAAGAAATGTGGCAGCACATACTACTTTGATTTGTTCATTTTGGCATTTAAAGTAGATGTCAGGATCAGCTATGTTTAAATGTGCAAGAACGCACATTTCTAAATCAGACCTCTAAAGATAAGTTGAGCAGCACAGAGCCTTATTGTACAGGGTATAAGATTTCCTCTTATCTCCTGACCACCTACATCTCTTTTTATACCTCCTGGGAGAGCAAAAAAGGACCATCTAAACAAACATTAAGGCATAAAATACATGAATACAAGACGACTATTTATTTTTATAGGTTGAAGGAAATTTAAAAAATAAAGTAGGTAAGAGATTAGGGAGGAACCTATAAAAACATTCCAACTTAGTATATCATACCTTCTGCTGCTAATTCTTTCCATCTTTCTTTGTTTGCTTGAATGATCTTCATCAAGTTGTCCTTAAAGCTTGTTAGGTCTACAGTTGCTAGAGAATTTTCTGTGTGAGTCCCTCCATCACTTGTACTTTTAAAACTGGGTCGTCTTTGTGCATCAGTGTTGCTTACTGCTCCCAAACTATTTTGGCTGCATAAGGGAAAAACTCTAAATTATTAACACAGGCAATTTTAATAATACACAAACAGTAAATTTGAATCAAATTCTTTATGATCTCCTACATGCAATCACTAACTTAAAATAATAGTTTTCACCAAATAGTGCCTAAGATACACGACATTTCTTCAGCTCATGAAGCTGCAACCCGGGACCAATTCTTACCCATCTTTTTCAAGGGAATTCTTTAAAAAAATGTGACAGCTGAAAATATATTACTTCTGAGTTGTTTCTTGAAAGAATGTTTATGTAGCCATTTTGGAGCAGCTTCTTAGCTGTATTTTTGAACAGTGTATGGTATCTTTGGGGCCCACAGGAAACACATCTGATTGTTATCTGTTGAGCCATTTAAAAAAAGCAAGACACGAAAGTATATGACAATAAATTAGTTTAGCTTCAGCTGAAAATTCTCTTCAGGGTACATGCCTTCAAGTGTAGTCAAAGCAGGATTTAGAACAGTGGCTTTAAAATCCACTTAAGAGCTACAGCAGCTACCTTACGTGTAAGGTAAGGTAGAAGTCAAATTGATTATCATATGTGAATATGCAAATATATGTAAAGGTGCAAAAAAGGAATGAAACCTCTTTTTTTCTTAGGATTAAAAAATCAGTCTTATTTCTGGCCTTGTACAGGTAATCATGTTATACTAGGTTTTGTTTAGTCAATTATGCTGCAGTTTATCTCACTGATACCAAAGACAGTTGTTAATAGGCATACAAATGGTTTTCCATTAATCAGAAAATGTAGTTGCAGTGAACATATCAGTGAGAACTGTGCAAGAAGAGTTAACAGTAATTGCGGTGTGCTCCAGAGATGTTGAATTGGATATAATGGAAAGAATAGGCTATAGTTCTAACGTTTTCTAGGCACGACAGTGAACATCATGTGATGTACTCATGGTGTCCACCCAGTAGTGTTTGTGCAACTCTGCTGGCTCAGACATCTCTGTCTCATGCTATAGGCTCTCCACTGTCTTGATTCCATACTAAGAAAAAAATCCCTTTGTCCTCCACCTCACATCAGCAAGCTTTGCTGGATCATAAGCTTTTGTTCATCTACCACTCAGTTATGAACATTAACCAAAAATGAAGCCTGGAGCTACTAATCGTTTGCAGCTGCTAATCACTTATTTGTGAAGAAGCGAGCAGGTAAATCTGTTATCAAAAATGCCTTAGTTTAGCACTGTTCCCCAAAACACTAAGAACACTGTCATAAATACCTACTTCTAGAAATGTCTACTTACTTCTGGTAACCAAAATCCATGTGAACTCGTGATCAGAAAAGCACTATGTTCCTCATTTTGCTAATAAAATCTAACCAACACACGGCAAATGAAAAATGGCCCTGCAGAGTTATCATATCAGTAGCCTCAGTGAAAGTTCAAATTTTAAAATGAAAAAAATGTAGTAGCAGAGGCAATATTTGTAAAAGCAGCATCTGATTATTGAACGATGCTTTTAGCATGGACTCATGCAGATAATATTGTCTGTCATAGTGAGTTTGTTTTATAGACAACTTCTATCACGATGCAAATATCAAGAGCTTGATGTGCAACACCCCCAACCCCCCCTCCCCGCATCTCACTTAGACTGTATTTAGGTCTCTCAAGTGGAATATAGTTGGAAGTAATTTTGTCACAAGTGTATATATCAAATAATACTAATGTGGAAAGGTGAAGAAGGAAAGTGATATACAGCATAATAAAAACCAGAGAAACTTCCAATTGCCTTTCAGAAACAAAAAAAATATTTTGGTACTGTCAATTAAAATTATACTGAAATGGTTCAAGGTAAGAAAACTAGGAACTACAATAATCTATTGCAAAGATTACAGTCAAGGGAAAAATTGTTAATAGATATGCTGTAGAAAATCAGCTTTCTATTTTATACATTTGTATTCTCATTATTGTGTTTTTGCATTTTATATATGCGATTGCCTAGTCAACGGAGTAATAGCATATTGCAAATAAAATATAGCACCACATGGTGGCACTACTGTACAGCTATTTAGGCTACTTTTCCAACTGTTAAAATACTTGAGATAATTCTGAGAATGACACTATTGTGTTAGTTTATGTTAGCTCAATAACTAAGCAGTGTACTCATGCCTGGGTGTCCCAAATGCAGGACTTTCCGATTTGGATGCTTCCTCTATAAGAGGCATAACAATTTTCTCCATTGAGTCCGTAAGAAGAGAAAATGTTGGTTCTACTATGAAATCAATGAAACCTAAAGAAAAAAAAGAGAGAAAATCAGATTTTACATTTCCACAGCTCTCAAATCTAAAACTAATTACTTAATATCAGGCTGATTTTCTGACTCATGCTATAGGGTCTCCATGCTCTTCATAAGCGTAGCTCTTGATTCCATCGTAAGAAAAAAATCCCTTTTCATGTCCAATTCAATATACTGGATACCACGGGTATAATCTTGAAGAAAAAAGAACAACTGAAAAACCCCCCACCTGAAGCTCTACAGATGTAACTAGATATTAATAATTATAGCTTTTCATTCCTTTTTCTTGTAAATCTTATGCACTGCAGAACAAACCTACCATTTGAAATGAATATTAATTATTGAATAGAAGGGAAGCTACCATTGAGCCAGGGGGCTAGAAGTCATACTGTCTCTTTTACCATTTGGAGCTTCTTGACAAAGGAGTTAATATTTGAAACTGCTGTTTATTATTCTGTGGAGGTAAAGTGTTATTTCACAGTGTGTAGGAGTGTTCTGTCAAATCAGCGAAGAGAACAAGTAATATCCTTAGGAGACAGCATTCATCCCACGGTTCTGAGATGTCAGCTCTGAACAATGTCTTTTACATTTTAAAGTGCTCATCAAGGTATGGAACGACACAGTGAGAGAATGAAGCATTATTCTCTGCTGAGCACTTAACAGGAAAAAAAAAATCCTAAAACATGAGCTAGCAATGGATTTCCAGATGTCTTCATACTCTAACCATGCAACACATCACAAAGGTGAGCAGCAGTGCTTCAGCCTAGGAACCAGCTTCCCTCCTGCAGTAGGTATGACACTCAAGCACGTTGCCTTTCATGTCCCAGTGAAATGGAATAAAGGACATTTTCAGTTACAAGATCAGACAGGATGACATGCTTCAATTCAAGGATAAGACACTATAGAATCTCTCCCTGAGTACTGTGTTCACTCACACAAAAGGTACAGCTGTTGGTAAGACATACTGCTTTACTCAGTATGCTTCTAGGGTATGCCATTGTGATCTTTACCAATTTTTATTTCCTTATTGTTGCTGATAGAAATGAAGATAGAGAGAGCCAAGATCTGCATTTCTGATAATGTGAAGCTGAAGTTTGGCCATTGTTGATCAAAATGCCATTAAGATTGACAGGAACAGAATGCAATGGTCCATGTCAACCCAAGGAGGCTTGACCCTGTGTAGTTTGACCCTGCCACACTGACAGTCTTACCTGCAGTCCAGAGATCTGATGTATGAATTAGCTTTAAGTTGAGCTGCATCTACAAAACCAGGCTTTCAGACTGTAGTAGACACAGACCTGTGAGTTCTTGAGCAAGAGTCAATCTGTCTGAGGACATATCTACCAAACTCTAAAGCATGTACAGTAAAAGTTGAGCTCAAGTCCAGCACTTGAGTTAATCCCTCTCCTACTCCTCCTTGGCATAACATATGCTGAAATTACTACATGTTCTTTTGAGAGCAGCAGATTTCTGCTGTAAGAGGATATGAGTTTGGTGAACAGATAGGCGCAAAGAAATACCTTCTATACGATGGCATTTGGAACATTTAAAATTCAAAATGGCTATAGGAAATGTCCACATAATTTTACATGCTGCTACACATACAAGAAAAAAAAACCACAACTTGTCATTACCTATTTGGGACTGGGCTACCAAAGTTGATTTGCGGTCACAGAGCGGGGAAAACTGAAGACCTAAAGCAGCTTCCTTGTCTCCCTGCAAACAACAACATTTAATATTATAAGCACATATTTGATAGAGAGACAGAGAGATAAAGAAATCTGAACATTCTTAGTGTTTATTCAACAGATTACTTTGGTCACTTATATTCCTAAACAAAAACAAGCCACAGGCAAAAAAACCTCATTAATTACCTTTAAATTTTCAGGAAAAGTAAAAGTCAAAATTATAACTCACATTTGGCAATTTTTAGATAAAGGAACTTATTGCAAGCAAGTTCTCTTCAAGAGCAAAGCATCTGCCAATGATATTCAACACAGATGAAGCCCTTCAATATTCACACTTTAGTCCTGCTGATCCCAGATGTAATGGGATTTGACACATTTAGACACATTTGTAATAGCAGGCCAAATGCTAAGAGTTTCCTTCTATTACATTGGTTTACCCAACATGTAAAATTTCTTCAATGAATTTACGCAGGTCAAGGGCATAATCTGACTTGAACTCATTCTCAGTAGCATGGATGTCTCTCTGCTGTGAAGCCGTAAAAAAGCACAAGCTCAATTTCATTACAAAGATGTTTTGTACAACTTAGTTCTGAAAATATTTCAACACCTCACACATTAAAAGAGTTTTTTTGTTGTAACAGTCTTAACAGACAGGGAGGTGTTATTTCAACTTTTAGTGTGGTAGACCAACTGACTTGTAAAAGCTCAAAAAGAAAGTCTAGTGGAGAAAAAAACCCTAAAGAGACATCTTTCAAAGGAGGCTATAACTTGTGTTGCTGGACAAACCTGGCCTGCAGAAGCACTAACATTATAGATATGAGAATACCTAGTCTTTCAAGTCAGATGACTCTACATATTACATTAGTCATGGAGAGTGCTGTTTCATGATCGTTCAGTGGGAAGCAGTACGTGAACACACCATTTTCCCACAGATTTCATCAGATGCTGATGGATGAAGGGGGCAGTATCAACCTTCCTTAGTCCTTTTATCATGTATCATTGAACTAGATTTGGGAAAACTTTAGAACTGTAATACCAATAAAACCACTTCAGCCACAGGAACAGATGTAACTCACAGATTGTGTTTCATGTGGAAGCAGAGAGTTTTATCGCTATGGCCTTTAAATTTTACACCCAAGTGTTCACAATTTGACTTCAGAGTGTAGAAGAACAGATGAACACTTACTACTAGGAATGGTGCTAGTGGCGTCTCCATGTAAATGCAGCGTATAATACAAACTGGTGCAGTTCTAATAATTTCAGCCATTGTTGAATACAGGATTTCTAAAGCAATATCAATTTGTAATCTTCCCTTAACTAGGTATTAAAAAGGGAAAATTCCACACTAGTAAAGAATCAGTTTGAATTTTTATGTTTTCAAGTATCTCTTTACACCAACTACGAATTACTTTGCAATTAATATAATACATAATTAATACTTAAATGTCATATGTCTAAGTCTATTGTAAATTGCAATAATGGATACAGCACTGATATTCAAATTGATCATTAGAATTCCATGAGATTTAAAATCAAGATAAAGATCAAAAGAGTAAAACAAATTCTTTGCCCAGGTGCTGAACTCACTAGAAGAATTATCTTTTTGTGCATTTGGATCTATTCGGACTGAGAGCAGAATGCTATAGGAGCTGTGATACTTGAGTGACTTGAACTACGTATTTCTTTATTTTTAAGGTTTTGAGATGGGTGGGTGTATTTCTATTTTAAACAAGTAGCTCAGATTTTCCTTGGCATTATAACACACTTTCTGTAGTTGTTGCTTTTAAACTTCAAGCGTTGTTTGGCTTCTTCCCTGAAGTTAACACTGGCACATATTTTAACCATTAGCTGCATTTAACAAATTTTTTTTTGTCTAGGTGAATGTTCAGTTTTTGCTTCATTCTCACTACTTTGAAAGCTGTCATTAAAGCATTGTTTTTCCATCAGCAGGTTCAGACTCTGCTGCTTTTTCCTGTAAAGCAGTAGAAGTAGTTCAATTACTGTCTTTAAAGAAAACAAGGAATTAGTGGCTTTTTTATATATCTTGACTACTTCATCTTGGCTGACACAGATTTGGAAATGCCGGAGATTTCCACTACATCCTTTCAGATCAACAGACCAGAGGACGCACAACCAAGCCAGTACCTCTAGGAAGCAGGAGACCTACTGTGTCTGCACTGCTTAGTGCATTTATATATGTACAGTTACTTCATCACAGTTTAAATGTCTTGGAACTACTCCACACGCACTGTTCTTAGTAGTATGTGTAAAGAGCGATTCAGTTCCTTGCACACTTCTTTAGAGCCTGAAAGACTTTCACATTTTATACTGCTGAGTTGCAGACACACATACATGGTGATTTGATTCTATTGTTAAATGCCTACTCGAGTCTTTGAGCAGCTTATTTGGGATCCAGTTACTTCTTTTAATGAAAGGATAAAGGAATAACTAAAACATTAGCTGATCCCATGCACTCAACAACCAGTGTGGTGGTGTTTCGTGCTAATGCTGCATCCACTTGACTGGACACGTTGCCTCACCGTCCCATGGGCTCTGTCTAGTTTGTCTCTCTGTTTCTACAGTTGGTCATTTCTGACCTTTTCAAGTAATATATATCTGGGGTAATCTGCTCCTCCTTTTCCCTCTCAAGTTCAAAATCCTCATCATTTTCATTTACAGAAGCAGACACAAACTCATGACTCTACTCAGTATTTCCACAAAACTCAGTGCATTCATTATTTAGATTAAGGCACCAGCTCTCCAGTCTGTCTCCCCAATGCAAAGCCCAGAGCCAAGGATGTCCTGGTGCTCCCTACTCAGAATTCATATAAAGAACCTCTAGGAACTGAGCAAGAATGTTCTAGGGCAGAGGGGCCAAAAAACCTTATGGTTTAACATACTGACTTTTTAATTCTCTGACCCCTTTATGCAGTGTCACCCACCTGATTTGAAAATGTCAGCATATAGCAAAATAATGACAATCAAGCTGAGCAAGACATACACTCTTCCATTATCTGTATTAACCATTTTTAAAACCTGTGTATAACTGTAGAAACCATGTAATACCTAAATGGTATTTTAATTCAGTATTTCACAGCAATTCAAAGAGTTTCACAAAGGCATGTTTTCATTTTTGTTTTAGGATATATGGCCACAGCACTAAGAGGGTGATATCATTTAACCTCTGGCTTTGGATCAGGCTGTTCTGAAAGCAAATCTTCAGATCTATGTGGCGTAAGAAATAAGAGGGCTTTCTGAAATGTGAAATGGAGATAACTTTTTGCCTTCTTTGCTGAACATGAATTCTTCCTATTTTCAGGTCTCTCATCCTACCCTGCTGGTGCTTCTTTTTAACTCAATGCATATATAAATCTCTGTCTACAGAATGAAAACAGCTTGACAAGTTATACTATAATTGAAAGAAAAAAATCACTACAACACTTATAATCCTGGTATCAGCTGAAATAGATACAGAGCTATAACAATTTCACCTTATTCACGCACATAAAAGTTGAATTAATGTCAGCGGTATGTATGAAGAGTAAGGAATATATACAACTGACTACACTTGTCAATCACAACCAAAAGCATCCTTGCTAGTAGACTTACGAAAAAATTTGATTGTGTAACCATTGCTTCTTGAACTAGATTTATTAAAAGACTTTAAAAATGGCACCTGTCGAAAAAATTCTTCCATCAGGGCCATGGTCCACCGGTAGTGCAGTTCCCAGGATTTTGCTGGATGGCTTATGTCTGCTGCATGTAGAATCAAAGACATGGCTTTGGCTTTGTCTACCCTGTCAATTCAAGGACATGCTTCAATTATCTCAAAACAAAACCAACTATTTAAATTCTTTTCTTGTACATGAGCTCATTAAAAGACTATAGATAATGAACAGAATGGAAAAAAACCTTACCCCTCTGTCTGCTGTAGAGTATGTCGCATTGTTTTAATCTGTTGAAAATGACCCGACATATCTGTAGACAAGACCATCTCAATGACCAAGCTACGCAACTCCCTAAGAATAATTAAATGCAAAACAATTTATTGCAATTCATTTATTCTATGTATGGTACATTTGTTTAAGCAGTACTTGTTAATTTATAACTTTCTAAACAACATCACGGGTTGTATTACGTTTTAAACAGTATTTAAATAAATTATTAACAACTTCAACATTATATCCTAAAGGGATTCTGTGAAAGCAATGTACTTCAGAAAATGCACTCTACAATCATTATTGCAGAGTCACACTGTTTTGTAGTTGCTCTTTTCTAGTGTATAAACTAAAATTACATGCAATTCTGTCACCCATTGTAAGTCTTATTTTGCCAGCAGTACAGTATCAAAAAAACCCTGTTGGTCTCTGCGCTTACCACCACACAAGAGGATATATTTGTGTCCTTTTTTACCACCCTCATATTAGTGCAGAGCAGACACAACACATAACACTAAACCTAGGAAAAAGGCTGTGGAAACACTCAGAAGAGCAAGAGGTATTACATCTGGTATACTATCAACATTATACCAATATACGAACATTATGACAAAGTACCTTTCACCCAAATTTACCTTAATGCCTATTTGATGAATTAGAAAAAGTTTAGGATTTATAATTTATCTATATCTTGGTATTATGGTCAGAGATATTGGTTTGTCCATCAGCTTTGTATTAAATGAACATGAAAATAGTAAAGCATGAGTCATGTAAGAAAGTGGATTAATTCTGATTGGATATGAAATTACATTAATTTTGCCAACATTAACTACAATTTGGAAAATTCTGTTTCCTTGATGTAGAAGGATTGTATATAGACTACGTAGGAGTCTAGTGGGTCTTTATTTACATGCTTTTTAAATGGCCTATAAGAATTCACATGCAAGTGTCGCTTGTCTGTAAATCAGGCACAATTCATTGCATTAAATCTTTGATAATATAGCATATATCTTCATGAGCCCACCCCCAGTCCTAAGGATGGCAAAGTATCAATTACAACTGTAGAATCCTACTTTAGTCATTCTTACTGATCTTTCATATTGTATTCATATCTTTGATTTACTTACCAATGCAGTTTTTTCAAAGGCCTATATTTTAAAGAGGTAAATTGCCATTTTCTTTAGGTCTAATAGTTTATTATAAAAACTATCAAGACTGCTTTTGAACCAAATTCATTACATATTTAAGCTGATAATCCTCATTGATTTTTGAGTATTTTATTTTGTGCTTTGATGTAACTGGATAAAGACTCAAACCTCTCACTTCTGTTCAATAGTATGCAGCCATAGCAACTTGTGTTTAGCAAATGCCTTACCTTATCTGACCTCATAATAAGATATTAATTAATTTGCATCCCAACTGCTCCTCCTCCACATTGCTTTGAAACTGTACCCTTTGAACACAGTGAAACCCATTTAAAAATAAAAAGGAGAAAAAAAAAAAAGAACATCTAACACTGCATGAAAACTGACTGCTCTGGATTGTTAAACCCTGTTGTTTGCAAGACCGAAATAGTTATCATTTCCCTTTGTATGGGAGATTTTCCTAGGAACTTTCCATGTCTGAACTTTTAAGAATAGTCAGCAATAATCTCACCCCTACTACACAAGACACACAGAGAACCAAAACACTGCTTTCAGTTTACTCACACTATTGTGGCAGCAGACAAACCCTAAGAAATCAATGTAGCACTGTCCTCCTCACACACTTCTGAAGGTTTCAGGCTGCTTAAAAGGTGCTTAAGAACAAAGGAGAGGCTTTCCACCTACAGCCTGCAGTCGTTTCCTGCCTGCACCCCCATCCATCATCAACAGAGGGATGGAAAATTGAGAACTAATGGGGAAATGTTAAATGAAGGTCTACTAGAGCTATGAATGCTCACAGTCTAGTACCATTGCACAGACTACTTTTGGACTTGAACCATTCCCAAATTGTTTCCCAGGGAGAAAAGACAATGTCAACTTCCATATCGAAGGAGACCTCAGCTGGTCATATAGATATCTCCTGGACAAAAATCTCTGCCTACTGCATTAAGCAGTCCACAGCTACAGGTATCAGGATAACACAGTTAGCATTGCTTATGCTACCATGGCAAAAAAGATATGTCAGTGTTGTCACCTTTAGTTCTATGACAGGAAGTGGTAACAGTATTCATGTACAGTGCATCGCAATTTTTTCAGGCCTACAATTGGAAGATTACTGGTTTTGAGTACACAATGTCCATTTTTCTTAAGTAAACTGCCCCGTCGTGTGCTATCATCCTTTCCTAACCCTCCTATATCCATATATCCTGTTGATAGAATACTGTAAAAAAATATATGCAAGATGATGTGAAAAAATGATATGAATAAAGCTGTAATAAACAAGAGACAAGGAGTGGCACATTAATTCCTTGGAAAAGTAGTTAACCAATAAACAGAAACCAGCTTTACCTGGATTTGTCCGTGTCAAAGACGTTTAGTCAGCTAGAAACTAATGAAAAACTGCAGGAACAGGCTAAGATGAGCAAAAGCAAGTTAGGTTCATCTGGCAAGTTATAGCAACCCTGCTTTTCTCAGACAGAAGACCCACAGGAATTTGTGAAAGAAAAGCTGCTCATTATGCATTGTATATAATACATATTGTTGTGTTAGTCTTTTTTATATAATTGGGCAACATATTATTGTAAGCCTTATGACTGGAATGGTTTGAGACATTAATACCACCTGACCACCAGTAACTGTTCATGTAACACATGGGGTGCTAGAATACTAGAGGCCTGATAAATCAAAGGAGAAAGGGGGACAAAAAGGGATCTTTTCTTATTTATTTAGGGGTGCTAAGTGAGAGAAACAGGACTGAAATATATTTTCAGAGTTGGGAAAAGTGTGAGAGATGACTAGGAATGTGACATGCATTATCCACAAAGGACATCCTCATCATAATTCTGGCAGCGTTTCCCTGCTCAGACCCAAACCCTATGTTTTAAACTTAATTGAAGGTGACAGTTTATTAGTGCATTTATGTTCTTAATGTTAACATGTACATTCTCAGTCATTCTCATCATCTTGCTGAAATAATTAACAGAACCAAAGTTTAAATAAGCAGCAGTGTTAAATTTTTCAAAAACGAAATTGCTGCAACTCAAGAAAACAGATCTGACAGTAGTCAAGAAATTAATCGGCGCCAGGAAGTACATTAAAAAGTTGAACAAATTATCATTTCAATTTGCTGCCAATTTGATTCAGTGCAAACTTCCAAACTGTTACTCTAACAGCATAAACTCCAGTATAGATCCAAGAAGTTCACTCCAGTAATAACTGGAAAATTGAAGGGCTTCTTTTAAGTGGCTAACAGATCTGTCATTGCAGCAATGAACAACTGTATCTGATTACAGGGTAACAGGAATTTTTTAATATTAGAAACAAATACAGGAAACCATCATTTCCGTGACCTACCCTCTAAATTGAAGTATCAGACTTCCACAGGTTGTGCAGGTTCTTAGACCAGCACTTTGGAATTTACTGATTTGTTTGAAAGTACAGACTGTAATTGCCTAGCTAAGTAACAAAACACGAAACTAAGTGTCCTAGATTAGTTGCCTGAGCTTATTAGTCAGTTCATACAGCTCTTTAAGTTCTACTGAACAGCCCCAACAAGAGACCATGAATTCTACCTTCTCTGATTGCCAAATCCCACTAACTTCAAACTGGCTGCATATAATAGAGGACTGGATTTGAGCAGCCACTCTTTACAAAATTTGCAAAACTAAATTAAGATCCTCTAGGAAATCCTAATTGGGTTACAATTAGGATTGTAAGAGGAGGGAGAGGAGACTGAAAAGCAAGTGGAAACACACCCAGTGTGCGACTGAGCAACTTCTGAAGGAATATGGTTGTTTATCACGGGTTCAAAAACCATGGATAAATGAAATGCAACAGAAGTTAGAGCAAAGGATCCATAATTGGACTGGAAAAAGAACTGTGGGAAGACCAGACCAAGCAATCTATGCAGAGAAAAGTGTGCTTCAGAAATGTGAAGAGAGTCTATCGCATTCCTCCCTTTATTCTGTTGCAGTCCACTGGAGCAAAATGCACATACATCACACACCTGGAAACCATAGGCTCCTCTTTCCATTGGCAAATATTTTCTTTCATGGGATTTTCCATCTTATCATTCTTTTCCCCAGTCACATAACAAAAGGCAACAACTGGGATGCACTGTACTAGCTGGCAGCCAGATTTCTGTCAGCTAGAGCAACTGCATGTTGCTGCAGGGATTCCCAAATTATACTCCTTTATGGTGGTCTCCAGGGATGAAGGAGCCAGGACTGGGGAAGCACATAAGTGTCTTCAGGCCATCTCTGGTCCAGTCCTGAACTGAAATTCAACTGAAGAAGATCTGCCCCTTTCTACCTGGAAGCATTCTCTGGTAGGACACAATATGAAACACCAGTTCAAAAAAAAAAAAGCGTACTCAAGGCAACAAGTCTGAAGATTTGAAAATCATTACCTCTCTACAATGACAGCTTTAAAAGACAGAATACCAGCCTCTGGCACCTGTCTATTGGCACAGCCACTTTCTCCGTACTCAATAGCTAAGACAAGCAAAAACAGGGTCACAGAGACCTATCAGCCCCAAAACTATCAGGCCCAAAATAGTTCCGAGCAGAGCAAGGCTGGCTCATGTTGGCAATGAAAATCTAGGTGTATATTACAAATATTGCTGAAGTTTACAATTTACTTTGAGACCTTTCTCCAGAACTAAATTTACAACACAAACTTTACAATAACTAAATCCAAATTACCATCCTCTGAGAAGAAATCTTATATGAGAATGAAAAAGTCTATGCTTCCTCTCTCACTTTATATTAAACAAATACTAAAAATACTTTAATAGTAACTGTTTCAGAGTAGACACAAAAATAGTTAATTGAAAATCAAAAGGGTCAGCAGACTTACGTTGAATAAACCTCTATTTAGGAGTGTAAAGTAAAATAGTGTAAATCTACCATGTAAAACAGTCCATCTGCAAATACACACCACACCAAATTTGATCTGACATTCACATATTCCTTCATAAATGTATAGGTTTTTTAAAATATAAATAAAGCAGAGTATAGCTTTGTTATTCACAGTGCATCATTCATAGTGGGAGACTTTCCTGGAAGCAGAACATACCTCTCTGACTTCACAGTCCACCTATTTAAGAGTTATTTTTAGGATCTCTGCATAACAGCTATGTTTACAGAAACACACAGAAGACTCATATTTTAAGTGTCATACGTAGCGATCAAAGATATACAAAGATAATATGTCCTTTTTAATAATGGAGAAAGTCTTGTCTCTAACACTAGTTCATTTCGGTGTTACACGTCTTAGTATTTGTGACATATCAATTATGATCCTGATTCTTTTGTCTGGTCAAATTTTCTTTAGGAATTACCGTAAAACTAAGAAGAAGAAAAAAAGAGGTTTCTGTAGGGCTTCTGGGCCTTTACGTATTATTTTTGGACTCTCCAGATAATTCATTTTTTAATGCTTAACCAAGATGTGACTATGCTGTGCTGTGTTACACAGCAGAAATCCCAGAGGCAGTAGTGCTCAAGCTGGCAGCAGAATGTGATTCTGTATTGAGGTTTTAACCCACTTTTAGACAAAGGTAACTTAGCTCAAGAGGGGCAGCACTGGGGTTTTCCTGAAGAACTATCGCATCTGAGACACTGTCCACACAGTCCGACACTGCGCCTCACAAATGCACAACCTCACTTGGAAAAGTATATGGAGTCTCCCAAACAGTACTTCTTTACACCACAGTAGCCTTCCCTAAGCTCTAGATATCCACTACTCCTTCCCGTGCCAAAGTTTCTTCTTGTAATTTGAACTCCTAAAATAGACTCCACAGGGAAGGCCTGGTGGTTTTTATTATTTTTAAACATTGGAATTAAGTTTGAATGTCACAGTAGGTCTTACCTCCAGTCATCTTTGGTTAAATTTGCCAGGATGTTCATCTCTTCTTCTTGCATGAGTCTATAAGCAGCACTTACGTGATGATTTTCAAGAACAGAACGATCATTGTACAATATTGCAACATCTGACCTAATGTCAAAAAAAAAGGCAAAATTTCCAACAGCATCCTGATGATGGCACTGAAGAAGGTAGGACTGTGTATTCTCTATGAGAACTATTGACTATATATATCCAACTATGTTTATTTGTTCCTACTGTATCAAATATTGATAAAGTTTCCATCCTCAATGCATAAAAAATTATCATTATACCATTGTATATATTGTTTGTGGGAAAGTCATATTTTTTAACGTGTAATGTTTTATTTATATGATATATCTGTGACAAAAATTTGTGAGGAGATCTTTGAGCTTCTTGACTGTAGACAGGATCACAGAGCAACTGAAATGCTCTAGGCTACTCAATAGTACTCTTTGGCAATACAACAATTTAAAATGCAATGCATTCATCAACAAAGAGGGCTCCACACATATCATGGCTATTAAGAAGTTACTAGCTTTGTTCTGAGAAAGATATCCTTTGGCCCACATCACTCATAACCAGAAGGAGTTGTAAATAATAAAATATTAAAGAACTTCAGTTTCATTTGCTTTAGATGGATGCCATCTTTTCTTAGAAAACCAGCCAAACCTTGAGCCTCATAACAACGGAATGAAAGAGATGCTCAGCTGAAATTTGATTGCATTCAAGTGCTTCCTAAAGCCAGACTCTTACCATAATGTTAGCACCCTCAACAGTATCCTTTCCCTCTTAATAAAAAGATTAACCTGTAGCACCAAAATTACATATAGATTTTCACAAATGTTCATGTGGTATGCTTTTATCATACTTAGCTTCAAATGTCATTAATTCTTGGGGAATTTTTTTCCCCAAGACCTGATCTGTCTTGCTAAACAACCTCAGGTCTCCCCTCTCTGCTACACTTTGTTCCGATGAAACTATTCCTGACTATTTCAATCTGGTCAACTGAAAAGTCTGTACTAGAAGAAAGGTGTGATGATTTAGCAACGCAGCTTACTATGATATTAATAAGGTAAACTCAACTTCTTGTTCTGTTGAGTAATATTATACATTCAGTGTAACCACCCACATGTACAGTATGGTACTGAGAAATCTAAAAAAATTTAAATAGGATTGGAAACTTTATTTAGAGGGAATAAACCATAACCTACCTAAATAATGAATATGTTTACACCCATTATACTACTAAAACAATGGGAAAACCTGTGATTGCCAATCACATATGTTTATGAAGAACACTTTGATCCACATAGCTACTTATGGCTAGTTTTAAACAGTGCTAAGATTTGTTATGACTATGACAGCCATTTCATCAGCTTTTCTCAGGCAAAAGAAGCATGGAATCACAGCCCTGGGATGCCACATCAGGGCTGAGTCCGACTAGGATGGAAGAATGAGCTCCATCACAACCCAAATACCTGTTTGCAAGTATGCCCAAGTAAAATTCAAAGGCTAACAGCTTTATTAATTTTCCACTTGTGCAATACTTCAGAGCAAAACATTAGGGACAAAAATAGAAAAGTAGTATAAACTTGGAACAACAAGCTGAAGATTATTTTTAGCCAGACTATGCTGAGGGAGAAAAGAATTATGCCTTTATTTCAGTTGCAGATCTAGAATTTGTTCATTATTGAAGGGCAAATCTTGGGGTGCAAGTATGTTATATATTTAATTTAAATGTAACCATTGGACACTTTATCCATATAGTTAAGTGCAAGGATGCTTCTGTTCAAAGTAGCATAGAGCTACTAGCTCAGAGCTGTTTTGTTAGAATATGCCAGTGCTTTGCTGAAATCCTCTTTTCAAGAGCAGACTCCTCAACTGAGGAGACTAAAACCAAAGTATATCCTAGCATGAGAGAACAATAACATGTTTTGTACTAGGTTAAGTATCAGGTGTACCATTTATCACACAGTAATGGATTGGTCAGTGATTTTCCTTTGATAAGCTGAAAATATTTTAAGGGTGAGAGGTATATGCTGCTGTTCTGGACCAATGGCTAGGATGACACACTGTGTTTGCATGAGAATACAGTTAGCCTGACTTTCAAACTGAATTTATTTCTAGATTTCTTTGTCATAACTACTGCAGATGCTGTCAAAACATGCTAGGAGAGGACTCATGGTAGGTGTTTCTAAAGCTGTACTAGGACCCTGTAAGTTTAATACCCAACTTGAAATAAAATATATCACCTGAAGTAAGTGCAGACACACTGCTGAAAATGAAGAGGTATTTTTCTGGGGACACTGTGGAAACAATTTTTGAGTTGAAAGTATCAGAACTTAAGTGAGCAAGTAGAGGGGTGAGGGCTTTCCAAGCCCATGTTCTGAATCTTTTTGAAATCTCTCTTGACATATCAGCTCAAAAATATAATGATTTCAAACACTATGGAGACTTTTCCACACTGTCTTTGTTCATGTGAGTGGTCTCATTAACTGTACAGTGGTCAAGGAAGAAATTTGTAAAACCAGGAATGACCTGTCTACTTCCTGGCTGTATCAGTAAAAGGTATGAAACAGTTCAGCCCAATGAACAGCAAACTCCAGATATTACACTTAAGAGATCACTTGGCTTACCTTGTCTGAATATGAAAATTGTTTGTGGTCCCAGTATGTTCATAATCATGGACAGCAGCTGCAAAGATCATTGCTAAAATTTCCAGTTCTGTTAGCCAGTGCTGGTAAACAAAAACCCCAAATCTTAGTCATATTTTCTGTAACAGCCTAACTCAGATTAAACACTATAATACTGGAAATGTTTTGCATTACCTTTAACTTAATAAACTTTATTTTTGTCTTATTCCAGGTAACTATATATCCATAACACTTCAGTATTAAAAAGTAAAATAACTCCTTGCACTTAATATGATTTCTCTAAGACCAAGTTAATGTCCTTATGGTCACCAGTAAAGTAATATTCGCAGGCAAAAATATAAAAAGTTATCACAATAATTACATGGTATACTTTGTAGCTGTTTTAAGTAAGAAGTATCTCATCTGCTGGCCCACACATGGCACTTGCCAAGTTATGGTATATTCATCTAAATACCTGATATGTAGTTAAGGTTATAATCTGTCTTTTAGTGAACAATATATACAGTTCATAATATATTCTAGGTACATCATCATTATCTATATTTTACCAGTGTACATAGCATTAAAATTAGGCCCATGGGAGATTTTTCTGTTCTGAATTTTATCATACTTTGTACTAATGCAAAAACAAGGGCACATAAGGCTTGTATAGAGTTACACAGAACAAAAGGTAATACAGGTCATGTATACAAAATAATGCAGATCTCAGAGTTTTGTGCACTTTTATACCTCTCAGTAACAGAGGCTGTTCTGTATTGCTTGGTTTGTAAAATAACCTCTGTTATTTTATGTCTCAAGTTCTACTTCTTGAATGATAAATCATCTTTTAGGAGAAAATTTATTCCATCTAAAAATGGGGGCAGAAAAATCATATGATAATTAACCCCCGCAGTCATAGGACTGATTAAGTCAAATGCCAGTCAAGTATTTCCACACATAATTCAGATTTTTTTTGGTGTAGAAGTAAGCTTCTGAAGAAGCTGACTGAAGAATTATCTCATCCTTATGCATCCATATATGCACATACATGTGTATGAATGGATATAAGATGTATAAGCTGCCAGAAGTAGCAAAATCTGCCAATAGTAGCACTTTTTTCAAAGAAGAAAGGAAACAGTCAAGAGTCAGAAGTAATGCAAGAATACTGAAATAGGTCATTCAGTGACAAAATAAGACTGCTAAGGAACAACAAGTACTGGCTGTTGGTGAAGCAGTATAGATTAAAAAAGGTCACAACAGAGGAATGAGAATGTACTGTAAGCAGTTCTAAAAATGGAAACAATGACCTTCATTGTATTGTGTGTCACAAGAAATCAGGCCATGACCGGTCCTGGCTTTCACAGTGTTTTCAACATACCAAATAAAATAGAAAACCAGAAATTATTAGTAACTAAAGCTAAACATAAACTTTTTCTTTAAGATGCCTTTTCAAATATCAGCTTTTTTAGTAACCAAAATAGTTGCTAGACAATACCGTTGTAAGTAGAAAAGTATTCCTTACAAACAATATCTATGGGCTACACAGAAACTTCATGCAGTACTATATGAGAGCAAGTACTCTACAGACTGTAGCTGTATAGTCAAAATTCAGACCAGTATTCAAATCAGAGAACTACTTTAGCTAAAGGATTTCTAAGGAAGTAGGAGAAAGCTCTCAGAGACACAGTTAACAAGGGGTTTTCTCAAAGGGAACAGGAAAAGCAGGTATCTGGAGGTCTGCAAGACTGCAAAGCACTGGAACCTGCTTTCCTCCTGGAAGACACTATGCCATGTAGGTATAACACCTATTAGAAAAATCTCTTCTATTGAGAGATGTTTTCCAGTATTTTGAATGTGCTTATAAGTAAATAGATTCATTTCAACTTTTCATGAACTCTGGTTCAAACTATTTTTTTAAACAATGATGGATTAAAAAAATGAGTAAGAAAGGGAGTCTCACAATGTACTTCTTGACAGTAAAGATATTTTTTTCCTTTAGCCTGAGCAATACAGATATGTGGGAGGAGAAAAGGGATGGTGGGAAGATGATCGATGACTCAAAAGTTCTTTACAAGATGTATTCCCTGGGATTTGGTTTCTTAAATCTTTATAAAGATGAAGACTTCATAAATGCAAACCTGAGTTATATATTTCAGTCGTATCATCTGGGATTTGATCTCTTGGGAAGGTTAATAGATTGTGTGCCACCTGTGATATCTAACTTTCTAACACATAGATCTGAGGTGGCTGGATCTTGTTTCTTAAGATAGACAGCAACTTTTGGAAAACACAATGATCATTTTATTTCTTCAACTGCAACTCTGAGTATGTGTTACTCTTTGCTGGAATCTTTCTAAAGGCTTGTGGAGAAGCATAAACTCTGACCAGCCAAATTTTTTGGCAACTTCGGAAATAAAGCTGTTTTCCAGGTGTCTATAAAAGACACAAAATGTAAGACCTCAACAACAGCAATCGTGAAAAGAATTTTTTAAAACCCAGCTTTTTGAAACATTTGCTTCAGTATGTTTTTCAGAAGTGAACAAGGAAGAGAGCAATTCTTTAAAAGATTTGGGAGTCAGTATCAGTTCCTTAAGATACAGTGAAAGCACATGCAAATCTGTAAAAACCACGCAGGAGTTTAATATTGAATTGCATCAAATTGACTTCAATCCAGGCATTTGTTAGAAGACACAGCAGAGTTAAAAGAGGCATTACAATGGACACACTGAAAACTATAAGCTTGAGAAGCAAACTACAAATTGTTATTGAGTAGGGTTCTGAAGGGATAACCAGCCAACAGGAAAAAAAAAAAAACAAGAAGTTAAATAGAACATTTGCATGATACCGATGTGTTTTCAAATTGCAAACGACGTTTGGGATAGAAATACTTTGGAAGCTGTAGAACCACCAGGCCTTCTTTCAAACACTGATTTCTATAAATGTTCCTTCTGCCTTGGCAAGCTACATATGTTTGAAGGCACTCTTGACTAAGTGTGGCCCTAGTTAGACATCTTTCCACAAACCTTCGGATACCATAATTTAGCAATTCAAATGTGAATATTTAAAACCTGGCCTAATTTTATAGGAATACTTGTAGCAACGTTGCAACATCAATGAAGTTGTGTAGCAAAGTCACAGCAATAAAGTCTAAGCTTTTCTGAAAATAATTGTCCAAATCACACCAGAGTGCAGTTACAAGGTTAAGACGCTAATATTGTAAAACCTGATTTGGAGAGGCCTTTCTTCTCGTTGTGTGCGCCCAATGGAAGAGCAGATATTCAAATACAAAACAGGTTCCTTCATTCAGTGCTCAGAGATACACAAAGTGTGTTGTGAAGTTGTTTAACCAATGGCTAAACATCCCAAATCGACTAGGATAACTCTGGAAGTCGGAACCTTGTCCTGGCATCACAAAGAAAATCTGGATGCTATCGTCTCTTTTGAAGGGTGGAGGGGCACAGTTACAATAGGCCAAAGGGATGTTTGCAATATATAATACAACAAAGGGATTTTTCTTCCTGTTAAGTTGCTGATCAGGTGTACACCTGCAACAAAGACATGTCTCGCATGACCTAACAAATCCTGTTGATCTTATAGTAGATGATGTGGGTAGGACAGGAACCATAATCTAACATCTTTATGCTTTTTCTTTTATTGAAATATTATTTTGATAGGTTAACATCATATGCAACATCTTTGGTTTGGAGTCATCTTGGCAAGAGCTGTTTAGCCTAGCTTCAGTCTGATATGGAAGTCATTTCTCAAGAAAACATCTCCATGTGAAAAGGAATCTGGGCCGGTGAAGACTCCAGGCTTCACTCTGCAAGTAGTACTTGTGTTAAAATGTAGCTTTGAAAATTTGATGCTTAGAAGCAAAACACTTCCTTCAAACAGTAGAATCAAACCCTGAAATGCCTAGGGACTCGTGCTTGCCACCACTGAAGCCAAAGGAAAAGCTTTCAGTGAGAAAAGGCTTAACATAAGTAAATGACTGTAATGTATTGGATGCTTGCGTTACATGGCTCTGTAAACAGAAATCAAACACTATCACTTCCTACATTTTTTTTTTTCCTGGAACAGGCGTGTTTATAGCAAAGACAGGAAGAAAACTGACATCAAAAGGCCATTGACAGAGATGTCAGTTTTCTTCCAGTCAGTATTTATGTTTGCCTAGCAAGCTGATAATGAGGAGACTGCCACTGCTGGTATTAAATCTAATATAAGTGTTTAAAGTAAAAATGTTTGCACAGACTCATTTCAGTTCCCAAAGCAAATACTAAAAAATACAGGGATAGTTGCAATAGTGCAAGGGAAATGCAACCTCCTGCCTACCATAGACACATATAGTATGCAAGAGCAGTCCTAAATAAGGTTATAAACTAAAAGAAAAAGCAGCTGCAGAGTATTTGAGTAAGCCCACTCTGATTCAGTACATCTTTCAATGGCCGGGACCTCAGCAGATACTAAAGCTTCCTTGCCTGTTCACACTTCCCAGGCTCTGATGTGGAAGTGAAAAAATCTCACTTGCCCATTCCTGCAAATATATCTCTTTTAGTATGATGTATAATACCCGAGCCCAGGCAATGAAAAGCAAAAAGGATAAGGAGGGTTTTTTTCTCCTTTTCTCCTCTGCTTCAGAAGAATTCCAGCCTGGAAGAACTGTTAAAAATGATGTAAATTTCACAGCCTGAAGGGTGGTTTGGAATCTCTCTCTACATAGTTTTCGAGGGAGCTTTTTCCTTAAGAAAACACACATGTACACTTTTATCCAAAATAGCAAGAGTCTGAGAAAAGAAGTAAATCGATCTTTGCAGTATTTCTTACCATGATACCAGTGTGAATCATTATGTAATGCACAGTTTGAGTAACGTCAGCTGCATGGATCAAATTGTGATATGGATTTTTGTATTTGCTGTAACCAACTTCAAGAGCTTCAGCAAAAGAAATAAGATTGGGAACAGGGATCTGGGGGGAAGCAAAAATTAAAATAAACGTCTTTTCCTGCAACAGATGCAAAGTTAATCAAGCAATAAACAAACCACAAATAAACACACCATAGAATTTAAACAACAAAATAAAAATTTGAAATTTAAAGGTCTAATATTGTACATGCAGCAGGGAGTCTTCTCCCAGTTCTTGTAGATGTTATATCCCTCTACATACATCATGCACAGCATGTGGTTAGTGTACAAGAGACTGCAGAACTATCAACCAAATAGTTTTCAAGACATGTTTGTCTGTCTGTACCAGGAATGCATAGATTCCTCATGTAATAAAGGTGTGACAGATAGGTGTCTAATAATAGGATTATCTCCTTTCCTTCACCAGTTTTACCTTGCCTGAGACAAGGTTTCCTTGAATCTGATAGTATGACTTTCCTTCCTGCAGATAATGTATGAAGTACAGGTACTATCTGGTCCTATTTATTTTCCCATTGTCCTGGTTTCGAATGGGGTAGAGTTAATTTTCTTCATAGTAGCTGGTACTAAGTTTTGGATTTGTGCTGGAAACAGTGTGGATAATACAGGGATGTTTTTGTTATTGCTGAGCAGCACTTGCACAGAGTTGAGGCCTTTTCTGCTCCTCACGGCACCCCACCAGCAAGCAGGCTGGAGGTGCACAAGAAGCTGGGAGGGGACACAGCCAGGACAGCTGACCCCAACTGTCCAAAGGCATATTCCATACCATACGATGTCATGCTCAGCAATAAAACTAAAGGAAATTTTGGCTGGGAGGCTGCTGCTCAGGGACTGGCTGGGCATCAGTTTGTTGGTGGTGAGGAATTGTTTTCATTTGCATCACTTGTCTTTCTTTGGTTTTATTTCTCTCTTTGTTATTTTTCTTTTCATTACAATATTATTAATTATATTTTAATGTCTTTCAATTCTTAAACTGTTCTTATCTCAACCCACAAGTTTTCTCACTTTTACCCTTCCAATTCTCTTTCCCCCCCATCCTGCTGGTGGGGGAGTGAGCGAGCAACTGTGTTGCCAGCTGGGGTTAAACTATGACACCCATGTAACGACATGACATTTTCCTTAAGATTTTTTTCTTTATTTAAAAACCCTGCAAGGTAAACAGTGGGACTGAGAGTGGGCTTAAGCTGACTGAGCCAGTAACACTGTGTACTTTCTGACTGTGTTGTTAACGGTAGCCCTGGTATGGTTCTGACTTCAAGCACTCAGAGCTTGAAGGGAAAAACCTTGATGGGGAAAGCTGAGTCTAGGTTATTGGCTAAAATTAAAATATTCAAACCAACTTCAGGGTGAGGCAGCCTCTTTGAAATTTTTTCCAGTGGAGAGATTTTGAAACCGTAACAAAACTTCCATTCAGTACTAATACAAAGATAAATTTATAATTTTGATCTGTTTTTTATCTCAGCCTTTCAAAGTTGGTTGTAAGCACTCCATATTGTATTGCAACACCCTGCAAACACCATGGAAAAGTAGCCTTCTCTTTATATATCCCCAAAGCTGGTTATGAGAGGAAGGTTCAGCTGAAACCCCTGCACAGCGGTGGGCAACATACTACGACAGACCATGAAAGAAGTACTTAGGACTAACTAGTTTTCAGCCTTATTAGGAATCTTTGTTCCATGAAGCTAGGACACTGATTCACTGCTGCTAAGTAAATAGGCTGTATACATGAACTGTTTATTTAATGCTTACAGCATTTAGCTGTTCACTAGAAACATCCCATCCAAAACCAACTTGACATAGGTCTACATAGATTTCCATTTTTTGGGTTGCAGAAAAATTCGAATGCTCTGGGTGAAGTTCCATTTGGTAGAACTATTGGTATATTACAATGTTCAATTTGCCATATTCTTTGAAATTCTGCACTGCATTGTACAATAAAAAACATTTCAAACATATCCTGGTTTTCTTGTATTTTAAGTTCGTCATACTTATTTTTGCATATATATTTTTATTTATGGCTAGTTTCTGACCTTGAAACGGCTCAAAAGGTCATATCGGGTAAACAGCTCATACATCATAAATTTCAGACTGTGCTCTCCACTTGCTTCATTGAGGGCAAAGACGTCAAAAGACCATTTATCAACATCCTGTACGTGAGGGAAAAAGAGGAAAAAAATAAGATTTCCATTGGTTTAAATAGGTTTCTAGTTAATCACTGGAAAAGGTATTTTGGGTTTTTTTGGAGGGAAGGGGGAGAGTTTGGTTGGGTTTTTGTCCGACTCTTTCAAACTCCTACTGTAAATAACACATTAATGACTATTTCAATATTAATGATGAAAATAGTTGTGTCAGTTATGAATAAAATACTTGTAACATGACCTATGCAACTTTGTATGCTTTGAATCAAAGGCCTTAATCTTTCAAATTTAACCTTCTGCATACAAATTGCCTATAGAAACTTGGGAAGCTAGTGTGAATACCCAGCCTTTAAACAGGCTGTCATGCAATGTCTTTAACACTATAGCCATATAGCAACTTGAGAACATTGTAACAGTGTTTGTCTTCCAGGGAAAAAGGTGAGGTACTTCATTCTCAAGAAATAACATTTTTTTAATTGGATACATTGCCATAGAAACTTTACTACTATGAAAGATCACCTTTTGGGTGTGTTACAGCAATGCCTTAAATTCACATTCACAGCAAATACTGTACTTATTCCATAAGCTGCAACTTCTTTTGTTAGATCTATCCCAATACTAATTTGCCTTTTTTCTTTCCCAAAAAGCAAGCAAATGCTGCTGAGACACTGATTACCACACCACTGGGAGCTGATAAAATCATGTCTCACGTTTCTATTAAAAAAATCCTATACAATTTTCATCCTAGTGCTCTAATAACCTATAAATTCACAAGTAATCAGGGAAACAGATCAGAATCATGTTATTTGTGAATTTTTAACTATTAATTTATCTGTTCTTTGTGCTCAGTTCTGTAGTGCTAACTATGGCTAGGGTATGTTCAGTTGAAAAATATATTAATTTCACTCTAAAAAAAAAAAAATCACTAAACATAAGTACAAGCACATTTCAGTTCCACAATAATTAAACTTATTTCACCTTAAATGTTACTATCACTTCTGCTGGGTAAGCCAAACCAACCATGCTAGAAGTTCTTCGGTACATCCTAAAAAAAACAAATGAAATATTAAGGAATAGCACTCATTTAAAAAGTACTGGAACAATTAATCTTTTTTTAATTCATCTTTCACAGTTTGTGAAATAACAGTAAGCTATTTAAGGGTCTGATCCCAAAAATTACATAAATCTTTTTAAGAACTTCTGAGAAAAGCCCCTCTGCTTGTGTGCTACTCTTATTTAGTGCAGTCTTTGGTGTATTTCAGTGTAGAAGTTTCAAAGACATAAAGTTTATTTCCAGAATTTTCCAAAGTTCAGGAGATTCCGTTACAAATTTAGAGGTTTCATCTGGATTTCTGCATAGAAAAATAGAACAATTGCAGAAATTGAAACCCAAATTCTGACTCAAAGATTTGCTTCAGGTTCATCTGACCACTTAAGGGATCTTCAACAAATACTGTGGTTAAATGCAGTACTTGCTGTAATAAGAAAACAAAGCTCTCACCTTTCTACAAAAATCCCAGCCTGTACAGCATGCACAATGCTTCGGAATTTGGGCTTTTCTTCAGGTCTCCTTTTCACTATGCCCATTTCTCTTGTGAACGTAGAAGCTAACCAGTCCCGCACTTCCAGCGGGACCGAATCCGACTGGATGTCAGAGAGCTCATCCTCAGTGTCCAAAAGCTTCCTAGGAAAAAATTAATACAGGGTTACTGAGAAGATGGCAGACATAAGCAAAATGAGTATGGACAGCTGAACAGATAACAAAACAGAATTTAACAGGAGCAGAGGTTGTCTGTAGAATTGACTTGGCATATCACTAAATGTCTTCTCTGGTAGACATACTGAGGCCACTGGGAAGGTGGGCACAGCAGATATCTTCCCTCTCTCCTGCTGCTCACCTTCCAGAAGGTAAAAGATATTCAAATGCATGATATTCAAGTAAATGCGAGAGATTTTTCTACAAAGATGTCACAGCTATTGTGGATTGAAGTGTTATAAATGAGTTATAAAATCCTGAGTTGATGTCTAAAACAGTGCCTGACATGAATGTCCATAGAAAGAGGGGTTAGTGTTGTAACTGAGAGCACCAGTGGTCCACCTGATCTGTCCTCCAAAACGGTACAAAAAATGTTTTGATACTCACATGCAAAGTAAATTATATTACATAGCAATTCTATAGTGAACGCCTTTCAATGAACACCCTGTATACAGGCTCATCACGTTATTCCAGTGCAATGGAAGAACTAAAGGGAATTAATTCCTTCTGTGAGGAGATCCGTATTCCTATTGAAGGCAGCATGATAAAACCATAGCAGTAAAGATGATACACAAGAAAGGATTGCAAGTCAGCTTTCACAGTTCTTAGTTCAAAAAGTTAGAAAAGTTATGTATACCTCATGCAAAATAGAAAAAGTATTAAAAAGAAACTTCAACAAAACTGAATTGGAGGCCATCAGTTTATTTAGAAGAAACATGTAACTAAGTATTCTCTTAAAACAGACTCAATATTTCAATTCTACACTGCTATAAACGTACCAGGTGTATGAACACAATCTTTTTATTGTTATTTGCCATTGTTATTCTGTTATTTGCCCATATCACTCAGTCTGCCGGGGTTTTCAAAGAATCAAATCCCTTATTTAGTCAGATAAGTTTTCCTCTTGTTATCTTGTTAAAAGGGAAGACTCTTAAAAACTCTTTCCCCTGTTTGTCTACTCTCTCCTTATATTTATTCATTATTTTCACACCATTCACTTTCTCAGTTTCTCTCCTTCAACATTTTCAAAACCTTGCCTAATTCAGGTCTTCTCTGGCACATAGAGGAATTGAGCAGCAACATGGATGATGAAGAAAAGCCTCAACACAGGCTTTTCAAAGGAATCCTCACGTAAATCTAATACTATCTGAGGGACTATAGGAAGATATCTAGTAGGAGGCATGATGCCAGAAGTGTCATATAAATTATCGGTGAACAGTGACTGTATATTTGCACTTATCTGCCCTGTTCTCAGCTTCAACAGCTTATCTGGCTGGAAGCATATGTTGTGAGATTTTTCAACTGGGGTTTAAAAAAAAAAAAAAAAAATCCATAAAATGCCCCCAGGACCACCACCATTTACTGAAAGAACAGCAGAAACGTTCCTACTTTTTAGGGACATAGAATTATCAGACTAGGAAAGCTCTTTAACATAGTGCAAGGGGAGCAGAATGGGCAAGAATTATGAGATTTTATGACAGTGGGACATGGACCAAAAGGCAGTAATTTATTCTGGAGGAGCAGGACTTGTGTAGAGAAAAGGATTTGGGCAAATTATCTTACAAAACTGAACCAAGGCTGAGACTGGCCATAGGTCAAAGACTATAAACTTCCTTTATTCCCTAAATTAAAAGCTATATAGTCCGCTTAAATCCCTACTATTCTAAAACTGTTATTAAATATCCCTGGAGAGATCATTACATTCATATTTCTGAGGAATAGTCGACATTTGATGTATTTGTAATATAATCAGGAATAAACCTTATAATCCCTTAAACATATTTTTGTAACTATCCCAACTGTTACTCAAATGACATGAAATTATTCCAGTGATAAAAGGACCATGAGCATCAGACTGCCTCAGAGCATGCAGCAGGGATACTCCACATTACCTGTGCATCATGAAGCACAGCTCCACATCAGTTGACCTGAATTTGGGACCAAGTCCTGAGTTCTGCAGATATGAGCCACTGAAGTACTAATTAAGGCTAACAAGACACACTGCAGTTTTTCTAATCTTTTTAACCATTCATCTGTAAAATAGGAGGACTATTCAGTCTGTAAATGATAGTAATAGTAGTTACTTTATGAAGACAGAACAGAGAAAACAGTGTTTGACAAAATGTTTCTCTAACCAGTAATTTTCATGAGACCACTGCTCGCTGATGAGAGGTGACTGAACATGCTAGCAGAGTTTCAGTGTATCTGGTTCCTACTTAAATAACTAGGAAAGCAACTGCAGCATAGAATTACGGTGTAAGCACAACCCTTACAAGTAAGTACAAGCTCTTGCAGATCCCTCAACAGATAACCTTAGTGAGTTGTTGAATTCATTTATTTCAGAAGCCTAACTGAAATAACATTTAAGGAGAAGAAACAAGGGATAGTCAGTCATCTCATAACTGCCTATTTTCTAAACTTTCCTGACCCTTTGAAGAATAAGATTTACATTGGGGAAAATTACTCATGGCATATGCAGTGCTAGAAATGGCCTTTGAATAAATACATTAATAACTGCCAGACTTCTGTAATTAGAGGGACAGGGCTCATATATATGGGTCTACACATCTGAATAAATGGATTGTCAGATGGATACATAATTTGATGGTAATTTTATTTAGAGAGAGAAACAAATTAGGCTATATATTGCACCATACAAACTATGCTTAATTATCACAAATTCTTAGAATCCAATATTCAACTCATTTCACAGTTTGTAACTTTTTTCAACTTTTATTCATCTATTTATACCTTGATTATAAAATATAGTATTTCCATTATATTTCCATGGGTGTGCATATATATGTGTACATACACAGTATTGTGGATTCTGTGAAACACATCTAATTGTTCACCTTTTACCCACTGATTGCGAAAACACTTCTTTAAAATAACCCAAATAAAGCAACTTTATACATTGAAACATAAGAATACATTGTTTTTATCAGTAACCTTACTTACTATTTACAAAATGCACACACACATATATAAATTTTACTAAACGTAACAAAAAGAACCTTCAGCAGAAGAATCAGAACTTGTACACATTAGCCAGAAGTACTAACAGTACTTCAGCACTTACATCGCAATAACAGCTGAAAAATTTTTCACCCAAAAAGAACCAGTTTATGATAAGCCACCACTATATTTTTTTTACACAGACATTGATCTTTTTATGTCAAACCATTTTGCAGCTTGTTTGCCGGCCTCTAGTCTATTGATATACATCACTGCAGTGAATGCACCTAGAAAATCACAGAGCCCTTATGTGCCTGTCGTTCTTGCGGTTACTAGTTCTGTTGCTCAGAACGTAACTGCAACTAAGGTTGACTCTGTAAGCGCACGTCCCCCTGATGCAACCACTGAGCATTAGAATATCATCATTTATTTGAATAAATTCTACAACATTTTTTATAATTACTGGGAAAAAACATAACTGTCTGAACTGTAATATTCAGAAAATTTTTATTCCCAAGTGTTTGTCTTACTGCTATTTTAATTTATACCTACCTAGAACTGACAACTTTCAAAAGCTTCAGTAAAATCAGTGAATCAATAGGAAGTTACTGGAGTTTTGGTTTTGCCTAATGAAAGTTTTAAATATATTTTCCATTTACCTGGGCAATAATAAATTCTGCATTCTGTAATTCTACTGTTATTTAGACGACTTGCTCTAAATTGCCACTTTACGAATCACAGAGGAGTAGGTAAATTATTATTATAGCTGATTATTCAGGATGCCTTTAAATTAAAAAAAAAAAAGAGAAGGGGAAAGGTGAAATAGTATCAGAAGACGGGGTCAAAACAAAGACTAACATAGTTAAAGTTCAGCTAAAGTAAACTTTCTATCAAATATTAGACGGACTTTTGCAAGATTTTACAATATAATTTGTAATTGTAAATTGTAAAATGTAACAATTTTGCAACATTTTGCAATATGTAAACTTTTAAATAGGTTCAAAAATGGATAAATTAATGAGCAAAATAACAAGTGACCACAGCTGTCAAACACAATGCTAGAACCTCTGGCTTAGAAAGTATTTGGAGCGGAGTGACTGCAAGATCCACAGCCTCATCCTCTAAATCAACCACACTGAAGATCAGAAATGGCAGGCATTTATTTTCTATTTTAAAGCTACATAGTTGTTCCACAAAGTCATCCTTAAAATAAAACTCCACTGGGATTAATTCCATTCAGCTAAGAGACATGAACTCCAATATCCTAGCACACGCTTTAATTTTTTCTTCCTTAAAGCTACTCAACACCTAAAAATCCTAATAATCAAAACAAAAAGCTTTAACACAATGTGCCACACAAAGTACTTTTTTTTTCAACACAAATTCAGAATTTCAGTGTTACATACACTTATTTTGCTCATATATCGTTAGTCTATTAAGCAGATGCAATACGACAAAGAGTATGCATAGGACGGAGAGGGGGAGGGTTGGGTTATTTAATTCTATTTGTTCTATGAGTGGAACTCCCATTGACAGATGTGGGAATAAGTAAGATATAGCCCCTGGCATTTCAGCTTAGCAATCAATTAATATTGCAGTCATAGTAACTAATAACCTGATCTTTTTGTCACAGTACTCTGTTTTTTACCAAGAATAATTTTTCAAAATTCAAGTAGTGGTAATTTCTAGCTCTCTTTTAATTTAATAAGAATTTTAAATGTAGTAATGAACTAGTCAGAAGTATATTTCTTTTCCCTTAGGAATATATCAGATGTACTATGGAGGAGAAGAAAGAAAGGAAAATGGAAAAAAAATTAGACAATGGCTATGGGGAAAAAACCCCACAACTTTCAGTGCTAATCAGTCATGCTGCCTAACAGAAGTGGTGAAAGATTTCCAGAGGAGGGACTGAGAGGAGGCATTAGCTCTTTACTGTTTAGTGAATTAATCAAGCTAATGATCAAACCCTT